TGGTGGTGAGTTTTTATTATTGTCATTATTATTATTATTACTGAAGTTTTTCCAGCAGCTCAGGATGAGTTGGAGCTTTGTGCCTGTGGGCTGCAGGGCAGCCAGGCTCGTCACCCAGGGCCGATGAAAGCAGGGAGAGGAGTTTTGGGGAAGGGCTGTGGAGCTGTGAGGGTCATGCCCTGCTCGGATCCCACACCCAGCACGGAGAGGACACGTGGAGGGGCCGCTGCAAACTCAGGAGATGGGCACAAAAAAACCCCCAGGGCTGAGTCTCGACCCAGTTTGGCTTCTCAGCGGAGAAGGGGAAAGCTCTGGCTGGGCTGAAATGGTGCTTCACGCTGTCCCCCCACCCCGGGCAATACGGCCTATTGGATAGGCAGCAAAAAGGCTGACAAAACACCCCCCCCCAATTGCAATTTAAGGGCTAAATGGTCACACTGCCAGCTCAGAGCTCCGGGGAAGGGCGTCCCCTCCCCGCCGGCACCAGCATCTCTGCCTGCGGGCAGGGTTAGTGTGACCCTGTGCAAACACGTCTCTCCCTCTGCCTCCTGCTCAGCCAAGGAGCACAGGAACGTTGCTGATTTTGGGACGTTTTTGGGTGTTATTCCCAGCAGGGCTCAAGCCCCCAGCCATCACCCCCACCTGGATGCCCCTTTGGCTGCCCTGTGTCACACCTGGTGGTCACAGCTCTTAGTAGCGCTCTGAATGTCTGCTCTGTCTGCAAAACGGGGATGATGAGCCCTGTTTTGCTTCCCACAAGGGCTGCGAGGGTGGGTTAGGTTAGCACAGATGCTTTGCAGAGCAATTAGCAGTATTATTTGCAAGAGAATGTATTAATAATGCAAATAAGGCAAACGAAAAACCAGAGGCCCAGCCTTTCCCTTTCATCAGCAGGTGGAAATCAAATCCCCTGCTTTTCTCGTGGCAGAGGTTCTTGAATTTATAATCCATGAAGGCACGTGGCCTCCAGGGCCTGGCTGCTCCTCTTTGTTGTGGGTAATCAGCCCAAACCCTGCTTTTTTTTTAATATTTCCTTCCCTGATAGGCTGTTTGTGCAGCTCAATGAATGCAGGTATTCCATGGCAGACAGATGCTGTGGCATCCAGGGAACCATCCTGCACAGAGGACTGCGCCCCTGCTCTGGAACAATTCCTTGACACAGTCCATCTTAAATACCAGGACTCACAGCCAGAGCTCATAAAGCACTTGCACCTTGGCTTAAGCTGAAGTATTTCTGGAGTTTCAGGAACTTCTTTGTGCTTAAGCGTGAATTGAGCTCCTTTTGTCACGGTTTTATCGAGGTCACAGAGCTCGGGGTCTTGCAGGGCTGAGCAGACCAGGGGATGAAGAGAGGGGGCTGTTGGCTCCCCAAAACACCCCCGTGCCTTGGAGCAGATCCCTGCCAGCTCCAGGTTGTTGCCTGGATACCCAGAAAGCACAGCAGGAAACTCTGAAAAATCCTGCCGAGGCAGCTGTGACTTCAGAATTCATGACTGAGAAATGTCGTTTGTCACCTGCTCGCCAGGGGTGACGATCCAGGTGTCCCTAAAGCGACACTGCTTGGCTGGTCCCAAACCCTGCTCCAAACCCTGCTCCAAATCCCACTCCAAGCTGCCCTGGGCTGGATGGGGCAGGAGATGCCACTGAGATTCCCAGCTTAGGGCAGCACACCCTGGTGTCCTTCCCACCAGAGCCCTGCCAGGCACAACAACCCCCCACCCCTCGCTCTGCTCTCCCCTCCACCCACAAACCTACA